ATCAATTCTAGATACATCACCTGAGAACTCTCCACCTCAATCAGCAATGTTATGAGCCAGATGGGAGCTGATGAGCTCAACCCAATCATAGCCATTTATGGTAACCCTACCGTCAAAGAACTGCTTGCAATATGTGGCCACCTACTCAATATGGCCCTCAATCAACTATTTTCCATTCCCCACCATGCCATGAAGGAGGAGTACTGGTCATTGAAGACCCAATGGTGCTGTCAGGGCACCAGCTCATTGCTTGGTCAAGAGACATGACTAAGCCTTTATGACATGGAAGTAGCTGGTATACCTTGGCATGTGCTGGAACCTGCTGGAAGGATTGGATGGTCAGGTGACCTGCTGTGCATGGCTGTGCATGACCTCATATGACCTCATCCTTGGTCATATGACCTGATCACCTGACTAGGCTAAGTAAGCAAGATGTTCTAGCAGGTTCCACCACAGAGGTATAAATATAAGGCCTACTCTGCCTGGGGACTGTCTCTTTAGACTTGGTCTCTTAGGATCATCCACAGGTACCTATACTGTAGATAGGTCTTAGTCATCAGGTCTACTCCACTTCCTTGTTGCCTGCTTAGACTCTTGGCACTCTTAGGTGAGCAGACTTAGTCAGCCTGTGTTGCCCTAACAGGTGCACTGTGTGCAAATGGGAGCTCTTCTGGGTGCCAATACAATACAATTAAGCCCAACAACTCTGGCTCCTCATGCAATGCAAGGGCTGGGACCTCAGCATTGGGCAACTACATGGACTGTGTCATTCAGCAGCCAGTGCCGATTATGCCCTTCAACTGTCTATGGACACACAACTTTGATGGAGTGTTGGATGAGTCAGTGGCTGGCACCATCTGCAAAGACATGCTCCCCAATGGAGTCCCCCTGTTCCAACATGTGCCAGGAGGATCGTCATGCAGCAAGGACTGTTGCGTAATGGATGAATGGGTGGCAGAGAGGCCCAGCTACCTTGGGCAGGGTCAAACCAGTGTCTGGTGGCCCCAGGGCTTTTACTTTTCATGGGTTTAACATTCTGAAGAGCTAAGCTGTGTTCCTCAAATGCATAGTAGTCTGTGCCTGGTGTTGCACCCACTGAATCCAATCGGATTCCCTGACAGTTAATCTACAAACTGTACATGGATGTCTAAAATGAGCTGGAGGGATGCAAGTAAGGATTTGCTCCATGACTACAGAGCTCAGCCACTGTCTTCTCATTGCATGCCTTGATGAGTTCATTGAGGAAGAACTCAAACTGGATGGCAGACATCTCTCAGAGTTGCCCCTGATACTTCCTCAACCACGTGTTTGACTGCTTGCATATCGAGGAGTTGAAGACCCACCATTTGGTGATGGGGTCATACAATTTGGGGTAGGTGGATGCATTGCAGTGGGTGCCACAAAAGGTGTCGCCATGGGAGTGGTGGTTCTTGAAATGAAAGATGTCCACAAGCAAGGCAGTCTGGGCAAAATGAGGAGCAACCACCCTGTTGGCTATATGCCAGAGGAGGCTGCAGTTGTTGTCAAAGAACAGCACCAAAGGCATGGAAGCCATGGTGGGGAAGACCTTGAGAAGAAAATCCTACAGACAGAGTTGAGGGAAGATCTGACCCTGATGGATGAGTAACTTACCATGACCCAAGTGAGTGCTTCTGACCCATAGAAAGTAGAGTGGCCAATGATAACTCCACAGGGATGGACAAGGAGTTGCTCATTGTGCATGCAATGCCTTCCAAACTGTGCTCAGACCTTGGATTGCATCTGTGATGTGAGCTGGGACAGTTGTTTACCCTTTACTTGATGGCGGTGCTTGTGGGAGGGTTGGGAGTCTTTGTGATCTGGTGGAGGATTGTTGGGTCCAGTGGATGGTGGGGGTTCATGCTCAGCCTGCTGTTGTAGGAGCTCAAGTTCCTCTAGCTCACCCTCCTCCTGGTCAAGGAGTTCCTGGTTGCACCCTGGGTCCTCCGGAGGGATGATCTGACTGTTCAACAGCTTTGGTTCCCCTCGCAGGTAGGCCAACTGCTGCCATTGGGTGAGCAAGCCACAGGACTTGCCTGCAGAGCAGTAATCCTCTTCCTTGGCTTGGTGCAGAGGGTCAGAACAAGTCTGACAGCCTTCTTGAGTGGGAGCTGTGCAACTGTATATGGTGCAGATAGTGGCCTGGTCAGCGTGGGCGAGGCAGAAGCATGCTTTGGTGTTTGGGAGTGGGAGGGTGCAGTTGTGCATGCTGCATGATGGGCAACCAATCGAGACACTCTCAGTCACGGCACAGGTCATTACATCTGGGGTCATGGTAAGTGAAGGATTATGAATGAAGAGAAAGTCACTTATGGAGCTGGCCATTGCGAGTAGTGGTTCTTGTGCATTCATTGCATGTGTGTGCCCACTGAGGTTGTCCATTATTGGCCATGTACATGTTGTGTTCCTGCATGGCATGAAAGAGGTGGTTGGACTGATGCTTTGCATGATGGGAAGGCAGAGATGGGTGCCGCGCTCACTGTGGTGCAGGAGGAGGGCATACAAGTCAAGGAGGTTAGAAACCCATTGTGGGTCACTGAGCCTGGGCTGGTACATGCCTGATACTGGCAGGCTGAGTTTGGCAAGGGACTGATTGTAGATATTGGCGATGGCAGATGTGGAACAGCTGGGAGTATGAGATCAGGGGGAGAGGAGGACAAAGGGAAGGCACTCACTGGCCATGGATGGTCAGGGAGGGGAAGAGAAGGCACACCCAGTAGAGGGTATGTAGCTCACTCTGGATGACTGTGGGTAACCCGAGGTAATAGAGCTCATCCTTGGCATGGTAGAAATTCAAGTGATAGACCATTGTGCATTGCTGACACCACAAGGAAACAACAATGATGGAGGCCATGCCTTCATCCAACATATAGAGGGTGGCAAAGTAGGACAATTGAAGGGTGAGCTGTGCACAGTAACCCTTGTTGGCATACTCTGGGCACTGGTCCCAGAGACAGACACAAGTGGGGGGATAGAATGTCTCAAGCCCTGAGAGGATGAATAAGGTGAGAAGAATGTTGGTTGGAGAGTTTAACTCACCTAAGTTGAAAGCCTGGCCATGGTGTGAGAATGCATTCAATGGGTTGGCGGACAGGCAAGTGATGCTGGTGGGATCCCATTGCGGTGTCCATGCAACTGCCTGGAATGCCTTCCACATAGCAGCAACCTGATGGACAGGGGCCTGGATGGATGCTGAGAGGAATGCTGTAACTGTGTTTGGTAGCACCTCAGGGGGGGTGGGGATGGGGCCAACATGAGTGATCTGTTGCCAGTTGATGCAGGTCTGTAGATGGCGAGCAAGTGCAATGAAGAGGAGGGCTTGCTTGACCATTATGCCAACCAGGTTGGCACAGAGGGCCCATAGGATAGTGAGGAAATCAAGGAAGAGCATGTGCTGCTTGAGATCAGTGCCTGTGTAATGGTAGTGAGAGACTGTGTACAGTCACACGCAATCAATATTTTGACAATGGACCTGTGTTAACAGGAGTAAACAGAGTCAACTTGAAACTAGTACTGGAGTCAAATTCTGAGCACAGCCACTTGCCTGCAGACACCCTGCCCGGAATCCTGAGCGTACTGAAGTGTGAGCCAGTCACGGGTCCGAACACCATGGAACATCACAAAATCCTCCATGGGGCCTTTCTCTGCGTGCTGTCAGCACATTGATACTCTCGACCTACATTCATATCGCATTTCCGTACGCCGTTCTTGGTATCCCTATTATCCGTGCTTGCTGTCTGACAGCCTTTTAGCTCGTGCATTTTGCCCGTCCTAATGGAGGCAGCCCGATCCGAAGGCATCCTGGAGAACAACGGCCATCCAGAAGGCCTGCTGGCACCACCAGGAATCGAACACATAGTCAAAGATCCCAAACAGCCTATGACCGTGTATCTCTTTATCAGGCGAGAAGGGGAACTAGATCCAGAAGATCGGCACTGGACTGTGCTGTGGGTCCTTCCCCGGAGCGATGCAAAACCAGGACAGGTGGTCGTACGGATCCTCGAGATTGTTCGAGAGATCAATCATCCCCACCTCACGAATTGGGGTCCGCTAGCCAGAATAAGGAGGGCAGAGTCTATGGAGAAAGCATTGATCGCGATTGGAGAGCTGTCCTTTGCCGAACGGCAGGCACTAGAGAAGATCGCCAAGAATACTCCTGTGTATCGCCCGAACGGCGTCTACAACTGTCAGCATTGGGTCATCGATGTCCTTTCCCAAGCGATCCACGACATTCCTTCATTTGGTCGAACGTCCATCGAGGAAATTCTGAGGGTGAACGGGAGACCTGGTCTGTTGTGGTAGTCATAACAATCGGAGACCCTGCCCATGTACTTTTAATGCACGAGATCACGAGGGGATGCCAAGGCAATACGAAGTGACTTCCAGATGGAAGGAAGTGAATAACGTGTTTTGCTGTGGGTGGTACGTGAATGAATTTAATAGAAAGCCTCAAAAGGGTCGCCAAGGGCAGCCTCGACGGTAAAAAGGGCATAAGTCGGTGGACTCCATTCTACGGACCCACGTCCCTCTTCATATGCGTTCATGAATTGATCGCACCACCCTCTAGGTGCCTTCAAGGTTACAAACTCGGTGCTTATGCGATATCTTAGCTGCGCGCCCTTGTGGAAATATCCTAAATGTGCCCCAGTCCAAGAACCATGTATAAATGCACCACTTTCCCGTCTCATCTTGTTTGATGGTGATGCTATCGAGACCAATATTGCCGTTGGTATAAACAAGTCGCTGCTCTCGCTGCCGCATTGTGTGGTACTCGTCCTGGCTGTGATCAATGTACTTCTGTGCTGCCCATCGTAACTGACGATTGCTGTGGCAGAGAAGATACTCATCACGTTGTTCGATATTGGAGGCATTGATGTTGGAGGAGGGTATAAATTTGATGGTAGCAAGCGGACAACGGCCAGGAGCCCATCTTATCACCAACCGGCAAAGATTGGAGGTGACGGATGAGCAATCCGAGCTGATATGCAATAGCACGTATTTCTTCCCGTTCCAGTGGAAATGCTTCGCTCTACAAAGCATTATACAGCGTCGGGTCCTTGATCTCGTCCATGAGAATGCAGGTAACATACCCGACGCTATAGACTTGACGGACTCGAGAAATCCGTAGACGTGACATGTCTCGGAGAAATTCCATCGCCGCTGCTTCTCGTTTCATCACACCTGCACCGTATTAACGAATTAGCCTGCCCTGACGAGGCCAGCAGTGGTCTAGCGGGTGTGGAGTGAAACCAAAATATCTTGCATATCTTAGGTGGTAGGAGGTCCCCCTTTGAAGAATTGCTCGCAAACAAGTTGTTCCCCTATATGGGAGGTGGGTGAGGGCCATCCAGGAGGTTATGGTCGCGCGCCCATGTATCAACCGTCTTTACCCCACGATTGGACATGTTCAGGATGCCGTAATTGTCTCCCTCTTCCCTCGAACGACGTTGAAGCTGAAGGGGTTCGTCGCTCGGGGGGTGATGCATTAGACTGCCCACGGACAAGGCTCTCCGAAGGAATGACCGAAGCACAGGTGCAGGAAACGAGATATTGTTCATGGATGATATCGAACTCGATATGAAGCTAGGTCTCCTGGAGATTTCGCGCAGAATCCTATCAGAAACGATAAGCGTGGGGATGGGATGGACAGGGTTGGGCCGTCTAGTAACTTTGAGCGATCTGCGTTCAGTGGGTTCAAAGTTAAGGTCAAGGCAAGTTACAAAAGAGCCAAATGTGTGCAGAGAGTGGACGGAATATCATTGATTGGAATGCCAGCTGAGACCATGATCATTCCACCCTTCCTCCGCAGACTCGTGGACGGAATATCATAGGAATGCCCAGCTGCGAGCACGATCGTTCCAGACCCTTCCTTCGCAGAGCTAGCTCCATGACTCAATTCGCAGATCCCGTGACCTGGTCGCGTCGCGTATGCATTACGTATGGTACGTGTTGCCTTTGCACATGACCATATCTGGTTTGACAGCGTTACTGCATCGACACACCCTATTCAGGCAACGACTGCATTTTCCATTCTCCGCGATAGGTAGGATATCTATGCATATTCAATGGCAAGAAATAAGTGGCTGAGCATGCATGTGACGACGCAGTCACTGGGCCTAAATTCCTCCACTGCCCTTTCCCAGTCTGATGTCAGCACACTGACACTCACGCCCCACATTCATATCGTGCGTGGTTCCTGGTGCCTCTATCATCTGTGGTTGCTGTCTGACAGCCTTTTAGCTCGTTCATTTTACCCGGCCTAATGGAGGCAGCCCGATCCGGAGGCATCCTGGAGAACTACGGTCATCCAGAAGACTTACCGGCACCACCAGGAATCGAACACCTAGTCAAAGATCCCAGCGAGCGTATCACTGTGTATCTGTTTGTTAGGCAAGAATCGGAACTAGAACCAGAAGCTCGGCACTGGGCCGTGCTGTGGATTCTTCCCTGGAGCTATGCAGAACCAGGACAGGTGGTCGTACGGATCCTCGAGATTGTTCGAGAGGTCCTTCGTCCGCACCTCACGAATTGGGGTCCGTTGACCAGAATAAGAAGGGCGGATTCTATGGAGAAAGCATTGATCGCGATCGGAGAGCTGTCCTTTGCCGAACGCCAGGCACTAGAGAAGATCGCCAAGAATACTCCTGTGTATCGCCCGAACGGCGTCTACAACTGTCAGCATTGGGTCATCGATGTCCTGTCCCAAGCGATCCACGACGGTCTGCCATTTGACCGAACGCCCATCGAGGAAATTCTGAGGGTGAACGGCAGACCTGATCTGTTGTGGTAGTCAGAACAACAGTGGAGACCATGCCCATGTATGTTTGATGCACAGGGACTGCCAAGGCAACACCCAGCGACTTCCAAATTGAAGGAAATGAAATAACATGTTCTACTTTGTGTGCGACCTGCAGTGGGTACGTAAATGAATACACTAGCCAGCCTCGAAAGGGTCGCCAAGGGCAGCCTCGACGGTGAAAAGGGCATAAGTTGGGGGACTCCATTCTACAGAACCACGTCCCTCTTCATATGCGTCCATAAATTGATCGCACCACCCTCCAGGTGCCTTCAAGGTTACAAACTCGCTGCCTATGCGGTGTCTTAGCTGCGCGCCCTCGTACCATTGTGGAAATATCCCAAATGTGCCCCAGTCCAAGAACCATGTAATGCGCCATTT